AAATTACCGAAGATAAGGCTTATTGAATGCGTTCCGAAGTCGTATCAGCCAGTACTGTTCCGTTCCCAATAGCCAGCAAATGGTATCAGAATATCTCAGCTGTTCGGTCGGTTTGAGGCTGGAAACGCATATTTGTAGTCAATTTTAACATCTGGACGTGGCGCAACAAGGATGAGTATTTCAGACGGTCATTTATTCCGTCGGTTGTTGCCGATCAAGGAATAAGAAACAGTGTTCGTCTGAAGTCTCTTGCAATCAGTAGCAATGCATCTCCAAATGGTCTGCTATTTCTTGGGATGAACGGTCAAGGGCATCGAGCATTTTTTGTGCACCAAGGCACATTCATTCCAAACAACATGTTTGCATTTCTGTAGTACTTATCTCATGCCAGATGCTTTGGAAATGTTGCACCTGGGAGTTTCCGTGAATTGCTCGTTCAACGGCAATTTGAAAGCAGAATGAGCAGTTCTTCCGCCTAGCATGGCTGCAGCTCTTCTGAACGACGCAAGAGTTAATGCTTTGTCATTTTGGCTCGTATTTCTGTCAGAATCAGTCATAATAAGGATGTTTTACCAGTCCCCCTTGACGCATCTAAGAAGTAATCTCCTGAAACCCCATTGCTGATAGTCAGCATTAGTGGATAGTAAATGCCGTTCTGCTCCAGTGTTAGCTTAGGAATGTTTGATTGCACGTACGACAGAAATTCAGCCGTGTTGTAGTTTTCCTCACGGCGCAAGTCCACATCTAAGGAAGCAGCAGCAGATCGGTTTGGTGAAGGCATTCCCAAATGGTTGGGAATTTTGTTCGCGATTTCTGCGCACATATCCTCAACCATTACTAACGCCTTGTTGTAGATTTCTGCTGTGAAATCCACATTAGAGTTTTCTTTGCGTAGTCCACGGAAGATGTCTTCGGTCCGGTGCGATTTATCTTTCTCCCATAACTCTTTTGGAGATGAAGAAGAGCAGGCGGTCAATATGCTTGCAAACAATCCACGAATTCGATGTGGATGGGACGTGTTGCACGCGTTATGAATGCTTACATCCCAGTGTCGGTTGTTTTCCAGTAAATTGACAGCCTGACATGCGCTGTGGAAGGTGGCATGAGTAACGCCGTTAACAATTCACAATTGCTGGAAACACGTTGGATCGGCCACACATAACAGCAGCGTGTGCAGAAGGATGCACTCGTTTTGATTGTGATGCACGGTGTGCAGTCTGCCTTTTGCAGTTCCTTTGAGTATGACAGGTTGTTCCGTCGCCTCGCTCTGCCCGTTTGCGTAGTTTGAAAGTTTTTCTACACGTAACCCATGTGTAATAAGTAGACACTCTCGAATATGGCAGTGTTTTTGCATACGCGTTACTTTGGCAAAGCGTGACGAAAGCAGTTAATGTTGTTGCCCATTGTATTAAGGACTACCTGTTACACATTTGCAACGGCAAAGTAAACGCGTTGTCCATTCTCTAAGTGTACTACAAAGTAAACAAAGGCTGGGTTTCTTTCATGTATGACAAATGAAAGAATTCGCCATAGGGATTTGTTGCTGCTGATGAATCTTCCAGTCAAATACTGTGCGATTTAATCGAGTTGTATGTACGCATTTCTTTCTCTCATTTCGGGTTGCAGTCCAAAAACGGCCATGTCGATGCCTTTATTCACGAACTTGCAAATGCGTTTAACCGACTTCACATAACTGCAGTATTCCACGTTTATGTGCACTTTGTATGCTTTTAAAAGCAGAGGCGTATATGGAACAACCGCACTGTTATTTACTTGTATGTCATCGGTTCAAAATTGCACGGCTGCCAATGTTCCGCCGTCTTCTGCTGATGATCCTTACTATAAGGGATATCCGTCGTTTCCGGTGGCTTTGTTGCATACGCATGTCCGTGGATATCCCTTAGCGCATTTTCCGCCTATCATGCTAGGGAAACTGAGATTCAGTGTGCCGCAAGGTACATATATCGTATTCTTCGCCACAACTTCGTGCAAATACTTGTCAATGTCGGCGTCGGGTAATTCAGCACATATTCCTATGGAGGTGATCTTGTTATAAAGACAGATTAAGATATGTGCGTGGGGCATTCCCTCGTCTGCCATTCCATCGAGTACATCCAGCGGCGCACTGACCCAAACACTTCTTGTTTCACCATGAAGTTCATCAGCGGTTTCAGCTTCTGCCTGAAAGCACGCGCTGTGATGTAATCGCTGTTGAATATTCGCCCCAGGGAGGGATTGAATGTGGATGTAATGAATAGGCCTGGACTTCCGTACTGACGAAGGTGGACAATTGCATCTTGAGTGTATTTATGCATACGACGTGGACTGTCTGTGTATGTGGATGGCAAAGTCGTATTTCGACGGATTTTGTATTACCGTCGCTTAAAAGTGCGTCACGAAAATGAATGTATTCGTCAGGGCGCAGCTTGGTCTAAATCAAGCGAATGAAAAGCGGGCGTTCTCTTTCGACTTTTATGTACGTATCCACAGTGCACTGGTGAAACAGCTAACGGCATTTCAAAAGGAGATTGTTTGCATCCTTTCGAATCATTAATCGGCATGAGTAATAGTTCATTGCGCTGCATTTCATGTGTCCTTCCTCACGACTGACTGGATTTATCATCCTAACGTTGAAGTGATATCCACCGGAACCATCCGAAAAAATAAGTGGATACTGCAGGGCATTGTAGCACCGATGAGTTTCTGCAACCCCTGTCGGCTGATTGTTTCCTCCAGTGCAGAACAATATTTCTATGGTGAAATTGATCTCCGACTGTAACAACTGCCACTTGGAGCATTAAATCCTCGTCCATGTTATCCAGCAGGAGTTTTTTCAGCATGAATGACAAATCTGTGTGTATTAGATGGCGTTATTATAATGGTATTTCTAAACTAACGCACTAAGTTGTCTTGCTCATGAAGAAACGCTTGCAGTTGAGGAACGATGGCCCGTTTTATGCCGTTAGAAATTACGAAGCGTGCATTCAATTCGTCACTGTCATCACTGATGAGCAATATTTGCAGGAATTTATGTTGACCGTCAGGGGGCGGGGAAGGGAACCGGCTGTATGATAAATTTGTCCTTTCACTTTGAACGTAGGCATGAACTGGCCTGTCATGATATCTACGCCGATCGACTTCATTTAGAAACAGGAATTCTACTTCCCGAAGTTAAATAGGAAGTGCTCTGACTCGGCGGTCTGTCCCGCGAGTGAAGTTTCTAATGACTTGGAAGTTCAGCCAATTTAATTTTTCCAGTCGCGCAGCACATTCCCTTAGCAATCAATCGAGGCCGCTGGTTGCTAAAGAGTTGCGTTTCCAGAATATGGTCACGACAATGTGTAGGGTTAGCGGTCATAATCTGCTTGGGGTTGCTTTTAGTGCAAGGATCAAACTTAGGCTTCGGACTGCGCATTGGTTGTGTCTGCTTTTGATGTTTTATTTGGACTACTGTAAAAGCTACTGCAATCAGGTTACTGCAGAAAGCAAGATTCCTCTGGATAACTCCCGAATGCCTCCTCCTGCTGCTGCTGCTGCTGCTGCTGCTGCTGCTGCTGCTGCTGCTGCTGCTGCTGCTGCTGCTGCTGCTGCTGCTGCTGCTGTTGCTGCTGCTGCTGCTGCTGCTGCTACCAGTCAATAATGCTTCTTGCACCGGTCAATCCAATCCTAAGAAGTAGCGTCTGATGGCATAACTCCTAGTTGAATTTGAGCTTGATTTAAGAAGATTCATCTTTGGCAGTGACTTGAGATCTATCAGCACCAAGCGGTGGAGGAATCGAGATACGCGATGACGCAGTTCGGCGCACGATTTTTGATTGCGCGTCGACAAAAGTTGTCATAATTGTGGGGGGCGGGGTGTGGTGAGGTGTGATACGGTGCGGTGAAAGGTGTAGGTGTGGGTTCATGTCGTGCCAGCTACCTACACTCAATCCAACCTCCGGTCTTCTTACCTATGTCATAACACCGCGCCCACGTGGGTGAGGAGGAGGAGGAGGAGGAGCAGGGGTGTGCGGTAGACGCAGTGCAAGTCGACATCCCAGCGAGCACCCGGCTGTTGGACAGGAACGCCGGACATCTTCCACAACGACGGTGCGTTTTTCTCAACGTATTCAACGCCTGTACAGACAAGATGCTCAGTCACACAATAAAAGTAGGAAATCTGCATTGATTTGCATGGTTCGGAGAGGATCCAGTGTTAGTTTAAGTTTTGTGGCTGAGTTTATGTTTACTTTATGGTTCGTAGTGGGGTTGGACTGTGGTTAGGGCCACATTTTGATCGAAGTTAGATATGGACTTAGGGTTAGCGTTAAGAAAACCGTTAACGATACCTTTAGAGCTGGGGTTATTCTTTGAGGTTGCATAAGGTTTATGAACGTGTTTAGATTAAGGATTGCAGTTTAGCCATCGATCGACGTTTCCAGAATATGGTAACGACGAAGTGTAGGATTGGCGTTTATATTCTGCTTAATGTTGCTTGTAGGGCGACGGTCAAACTTTGGCTTCGGACTGCGCATGGGGTGTGTTTGCGTTTGATTTTAATTTGAATTACTGTAAATATGCCCTTTTGCGAATTGATGTTGGTTATCATTAGGGCATTCGGTAAGGCCATGTATAGCGTATCATATTTTGAGTCTCGCTTAACATTGGTATTTTCGGCCGCAGCAAGGCAAGTCTCACATTCTAAGTGAAAGACGACCTCAACTGCATTGTTGCATCGTTCGAGACTCACTTTCTGTGATTTCTTCAACTTCTCATCCCATTATTAAGCACCTACGACCGAAATGGCTAGGCCTATCGACTTGCAGGACCAGATGTTTCGAAAGAGAATTCATGAATTACTGGAGACCCGTGGGAAATTTCATGTGGTTGTACGGCATGGCCTTCATTCATTCTTCCTACAACGTATTCAACTCAATATTTCTGAGGTTCACTCCTGTATACCGAAGAGTGCCAAAGACCTGCAACATCCGTCTGCAATTTACTACAACTGCTCACTTCATATGAATGCGGTGGAGGTATATGTAATTCGCACGGTGAGTCGTGATTTGAGGCAAAATATCACTACATTTTGCGCCTGAACGTGGTTGTTATAGTAAAATTTCGACAGCTTGCCTTCACTTCCAAAGTACTCCTCATGACGGTGGTGGCTGTTGTCGGTTTTGGTGCTGATGGTGGGGATGTGTTGGTGGTGTTGGCGGTGATGATGATGATGATGATAATAATAATGATGGTGATGGTGATGATGATGATGATGATGAGGAGGAGGAGGAGGAGGAGGAGGAGGAAGAGGAGGAGGAGGATGAGGATGACGACGACGACGACGACGACGACAACGATGATGATGATGATGATGATGATGATGATGATGATGATGATGATGATGATGATGATGATGATGATGATGATGATGATGATGATGATGATGATGATGATGATGATGATGATGATGATGATGATGATGATGATGATGATGATGATGATGATGATGATGATCGTGACGTTGGTGTTGGTGGTGGTGGTGGTGGTAGTGGGGGCCAATATGTTTCTGGCGACGATGGTGAGGTTTTCGATTCTGGGTGTGGTTTTGGTATTTGGTATTGGCGTTTGCAGTAATATCAGTTGTGATGCCGACATTTCAACATCCATTTCTACCTATTGTTTATAGTAGATTCTAACAACTTGACTTAATTTACCCTTGCTTATTTGCAGGAACTCAAATCGCAGTATGGCAGGAGACTCTGGATAGTGTCCATGCAGGATCTGCACTGCACAAGCATCATTAAATCCGTCAACGACAGACTTACAATAGACTCCATTACACTCCGTCAGGAATATCGCAATATGACTGCTGCCAAAATCCAACATTGGCTGACCGCTGCTCTCTCCAATGCTCCGCTTGACGAATTCACCCAGGGTTTCATGCTCCACCTGGCTCTCAATAGTCATCGCGACGTTCTCTACATCTCATGTTGCGATGAAAATGGATTTGTCCGGTATTCGGAAACTCCTGAAAGTAAGCAGCTCTGATATTAACTCGTAAAACGCGGCAAACATTCTTACGGCAAATCAAACACTAATCCACATTTTCCACACTACTCGAAGGTAGCAAAGGTTTTTTTTAAATAAAGCTGCTTCCGGACTGGACACATCGACGTTCGGTGGTAATTTTATTGTTCCTCAACATTACCAATATCCTCTGTCGTTAGCTTCCCTCCCGTGTCCCATTTAGCGAATGAATACCCGCAACCCCCTCTAGTCAGTTTTGCGTGTAATAAGAAGAATGCCTATGTAATTCTTCTTCGCCGTCGTATTTTTCACTCCATAAGGGTGATCCACAGCCTCAGAGAGGCATCTGGATTGTATGTCAGTATTTTAACACAAGTTACTTCAACTGCCATAATTCACAGCCAGTTGCCTCTGATCAAATGAGTCTGGCACGGAACCGATAAGCTTCTGTGCTTGTTTCTTTCCGTTCGCTTGGGGCGAACGTGTTGATCGGTGCGGCGAGCATTATACCCTCTACTTTTTTGTCCCTCTTTGCTAGCTGTGAATTCCGCACTTCTTGCCTTGTTGCCGTCTTTGCTCATTCGACAGGGTAGGATTGCCCTCCGTTTACTAAATCTGTCATATTTTTAACTTCGACTGCCTTTTTTCTTAAGCACCGTTTTTCATATTTTAGCACATCGAAATATTTTGTAGATGTGTTCTGTAAGAGCTCGAGCGCAGATCCTATCCTATTAATCCAGCCTGATTTTGCGGAATTCTGCACCGCCTCTAGATGTGGTCTTCAATAGATGGAACTCGGCGATTATAACTATTTCGTTCATTGCGTTAATTCAGACATTCATTTAGCGCAGCGCATACATATTACCCGCATTGTTTTCGAAATTATGTGGTATTTTGCGAAAGACGAATGTCTCGGAGACATAACAGCCCGATCTAAATTGCAATTTCTGAAAAAGATGCTAAAAGGACGCAAGATTTGTCCACGTGTTCTCCATTTAAAACTGATAATTTGTCCGGTAATAACGAGTGAACTTAGAGTAAATCATTCGGAATAAATATTTTCAGGTGCAGTTTCTTAGCCACGGCGAAATAACGTGCGATACTCGGAAGCTACCAATAGTACGTAAATTACGAATGATTCGCCGTACTGCCTGCATGGACACTATTGAAAACGCTGATGTCAACTCAAAGAATAAAGAAAATGATCATTGACAGAACATCTTCATCGTCGTTGTAACCTGAGGAAAGCACTTGCATTGAGTGTATCCAATGTACGTTTATGAAAATCATGGCGTCATCGGTGAAATTGGAACCCACAATATCAAGGGAAGGTTTTTAGTGCAGCCAACGCTCTAACCACTTAAGCTACAAGAGCCCACCGAGAGTTATCTGGTGCACTGCAAATTAATTACTTAGGAGGCCCTGTTTGGGGAATCAGAATTGATGGAATCCACACGTTGCAGTAGGTTGAGTGAGTAACTTGGCCTGAATGAGATTGAACTCACGGCTCCCGGGGGGGGGGGGTCCTCATAGCTCCGGTGACTAGAGCGTCAGCTGTATTCACGTCTTCCCCTTTGCTGCCGTGGGTTCGAATGCCATAGAGACCGGCTAGTTTTTTACAAGTGGGTCAAATAAAGTACTCAAATTTGCCAAAACTCCCATATAGAAATTAATCTTAAAACAAATCCGTAGCAATCCTGTTCACACTTTCATTGGTTTTGTAGCAGTCATCTTAGGACGGACCTGACCATTCGACATCTAAGTCCCCAGTAGTCCGCTGTAATTCGATTTCCAATCGAAGGAGGAAGACTATTTCGTATTTTGGCTCGCAATTATCACTGTGATCTTTTGATGATAGCGCGAATTTAGGAGTGAAGAATCTGTATCCTTCCGCTATCTAGTTAACTGGTATTATGCGATCCAGGGATTTGCACATGCAGTGTGGTTCGGCCCAACTAAAAAAAGAATTTACATTTGTTGAAACAGGCCGCTATTGCAGACGCCTACTGTCACCTACAGCTATACAAATTGCTGCATGTCTCTGGATATTTCTGTTAGAAGTGTCGATTACAGCATGTTTGAAACACTAAATTGTGAACCACTCATAGACCTTTCTACTGCCAGGAAAGGTGCCGCCGAAAAACACACGGGTTACTTAACATGCATGGGAGGACCGAAGCAAGGCCCAGCTTCGGTCACATCTTAGAAACCAGCTTTTTCAGTAATCTGTTTTTGCCTCTACCCTACGTTTTTCAATTTTTTGTGTTTATAATGTCCGTTTTCATTTGAAACTAGTTTTCATTTTCACTTTACTACAAACTAATGTCTCATGAGTCGTCTTCAAGCGCTTAGAGATCGCACTGTAATATTGCGATTTTAGCCTCACATGGCGATATGTTACCTTAGGTAGTTCTTATTCAGGTCTGTCCTGCTCGGTGCCGTCAGCCAATTTAAAGTAGACACAGATATTGCTGGCGCTGATAAGGCTTAACGCTTGAGTAGGGATTTAAACTAAGCTTGAGATATGAGTTAATTTTAACGTCAGGGATTTATTTTTAGTCGAAAGTTAGGTAGACTGAATGCGTAAAATTATCTTGAGATATTGCTTATGGCTTAGCGCCTTTTATAGTGACGCTTTGAAAACATGCTCTTTATGGGGCTTAAATTACTTTTTGATTTAAGAGTTGAATTGTAATTAAGCTTGGACATAAACGTATGATTCGGACCCAATTTAGGTCTATCCCTGGAGTTAGATGTAGGGGAATGTTAGGGTTAAGCATAATTATGGGGATGTAGTTAACATTGCTGTTATGGTAACGCTGAGGTAGTCCTATGAATGCTAACCTTCTGCAATTTCCCCGTTTTCATCTGCCCATCAAGGAGCCCCTCGCGCAAGGAGCGAGCATTTGGAACCACTTGGTCCAAAATTCTGGAAAATACTCAATGAAAGACTGGAATACCGTGGAAGATCATGTGTTATTGTACAGCATGAAAATCATACATTCCTCTTTCATCTGACGCAGTTCAACTTTTCGAAGGTTTACGACTGTGTGCGAGAAAACTCCATGGCGATTTACAACTGTTCAATTCATATTCATCAAGTGGATTTAAGTGCGATCTTCGATGTACGTTACGCATCCTTCCATAATGGTTGTATCCCTTTGAGACAAATTTTACTCATATACTTTGATTGCAGCAGTCTGTCGGCTATTTCAAGGCTCGTTTTGTTGATGGTAGCAGTAGTCGTAATAGTAGTAGTAGCAGCAGCAGCAGTAGTAGTAGTAGTGGTAGTAATATTAGTATTAGTAGTAGTAGTAGTAGTAGTAATAGTAGTGATAGTAGTAGAAGTAGTAGTAAAAGTGGCAATGGTGCCGGTAGCTTCCATTTTTGTCCATGTTTTCCTCTCGTGCATTTCCTCTTCAGTGCACTTTTCAAGCAGTTTCTGGAAGCATAGCACCTGCATGGAAAGTTGGATTACCCAGTAATTTCGTCTTCGCGGCATCTTTGGAGTTTGTCACTGCAATCGTGAAAATCAGTCACTCAGGGCATAGTCCAGTGCTTCACGTTCAGAGTTTTATGCATATCCGACGGGCCTGTTGTCCAACATTCGCTTCTAGAGCAACCGGACCGTTCCGGCAATTACATGCGTTTGCATTCAATTTCATTTGAACTATTTGCAGGTGCGTGGCCTGCAGAACAACAGAAAACTGCTGACTCTGTCCAAGCGGGATGTACAGGCCGCAGTCATCGTCCAATCCGAGAACGGCAAACCGACAATAGCCTCGGTGACGCTCCGTGAGGAATACCACAAGATGACGGCAGCAAAAATCCGGGATTGGCTGCGCGCTGCCATGAAGAGTGTTCCACTTGACGATTTCTTCGAGGGTTTCATGTTTCACTTAGCTTTTAATTATGCACGTGACACTTTTTCCGTCTTATGTTGCGATGAAAATGGGTTTGTACGGTTTATAAAAGATACCTCCGGTGGTTAATTTTGAGGTGTTTTCTGACTGTGAGAGGTCCTTTGACATTATGCTGAATGGTATCAAAATAAATACTTCAAATGCTTATTCTGAATGGAAGTTTCGGGAAATTACGACTGCTTTTTCTCTCTTACGGTTTCTCATTTATTCTCTTTTTTGTAAAATATTTCTAAACATCATTCCTCATAATTTAGATCCTCAAAAACTATGATGTTGCCTACTATGCCATATTTGAATATTTCAGATTATTGACTAGTTTCCTGTGAGACGCTGCTGCGTTGTGTGCCGCGGCTTCTGGAATGATGACACACACACCAAATGTAAGCAATTGTTGCTGGACAGTATCTGAACATGTAAGCAATAGCTGCACTTTCCGGAGATCATTTTTGGGATGCAGATTCATTAGTAGCCGTCTTCCAACCAGACGCAGCTACGCATAGAGGCCGGCCAAATTACGTCATTGTAAATTGCACGGGTATTGACACCGTGGATGCATATCAAGCCGGAAGGCCGAGCGATAGGTACATGCTGTATGGACTCGGAACACGCATTAGGACACGACCAGTCATGGGGTGTTCGGCTGCAGTGACACCCCTGGTTTTTATTGCTGAAATCCCTTTTTATCCTCCACTTTCAATTAAGTAACTTCATAGTATCCCAGAATTTTGGCGCTGGGTCATGGACCCCATACTCAAATACAAGTCACTGAAATAACCTACACAGGAAACTTCAGGAATCATTTAACGTCCAACAAGATTTGAACTTGGGGATTTTTATCGGATTATTTAGCAAAGTTGCTTGCAGATAGGATTCAACAATTTTTAACGCTGAAGTTTATATGGAGAGTGTTCTAACCTCACTATCACGATAACCCGTAGGTGAAGGACTAGATTCTGCCTAGGCATGTACAGTAGGCGTGTTAACTCATGAAATGTTGGCCGAAATTTTGGAATGCGTTTTGGACTCGAAAATATCACTTAAGTACGGTGTTAAAAGTAAATACCATGCAGCATAATTCTATAATAATTTAGATACCCT